GAGTATATGAATCCATATGAAGTATTTTGTCAATATATTTATTACTTTTGCCTAGTAGTTTTTTGTTGCCTATTAACCGTCCATAATGCGGATTTTGTTATTTTCGTAAACCAAATCTATATTCAGTTTCCATGTTTTAAACTTTGGTATTACGATGTGAAATTGGTGACCAGTGGGCAAATGTAGTGACAGCTTCCCTGCATCACAGTCTAAGATCAACTCAACCGTATCACCTTGTTTAGAAAGTTGCTTTAAAGTATTGTCTGTCGTCCATGACCCATTTTTATACACTCGACCACCATCAGATCCCAGTACCCATCCATAGGAACCAGGCCATTTACAGGAAGTGTTATTCGTTGGAGATACTGGAATAACATCGTCTTTCATTATACCAACAAACATCCACTCGTTATCTTTCAAAGATTCCAACTTTAATTTGAGATTCACAATCCCATGTTGGTGGACATTTTCACCGAGAACATAGTCATGACGTATAGATGAAACATTATGACATGCCACTTTTCCGCCTTCCTTAACAATGACTCCATCGCTGTGTAAATTGAAATTCTCGCTTGGCGAAATCTCAGCCTTGGGAACGATCTCTTCGTTCAAACCGAGATACTGAACAAGATCATTGAAATGTTTTGCTTGCTCTTCAGGAACTTTCGGCACAGGTACTGGATTCTCTGGAGTCGCAATTTTCCTCGCGCGAAGATAACCCAAAATTATCACAAAATACTGTGGGTCGAAGTCGAAGAAGATGGCGCCATCTTTATCACGTTTGAGACCATCTTCCCAGCGTCCACTGAACATGGAGGCAAGCAACGAACCTTCTACCTGACACAGAGTAGATCTAGTGGTGGTCAACTTCTGTCCTCCGACGTTCAGATCTATTATATCATCGTCGCTAACTTCGAACGGTTTCATTTTCTGCTTCTCCGCGTTATACGCTTCTACTTCCGCCTTCATTTTGGCACGCTCCCCTTCGATAATTTCATTGAACTCTTGCTTAAAGCGTTTCACCATTTCATCGAATTTTGTCAGTAAATCGTCGGTGCTCATGTTGTAAAATTGTAAATACGCTAGGAATGATTCTCACTTTATATTTTATAGTTCGTCTTTTGTAAGCGAAAGCACTGCAGTTTGTTCTGGGAAAACAATTGCGAAATCTGACAATCTGTTACAGATCATGCTTTTTATGCAAATGTTGTAATCTGATTGGGAGAATTCGATAAATAATCATGAACATATACAGTTTCATGTTTCAAAATAGACCTGTAAATATATCTTTTAGTTCTTTTAAGTCAATGAGTGTCATATAAAGTCTATAAATTCCCACTAGTCTAATCTTTAAACTGTTGGGTTCTCAGTGTTGGTAGTGGTCTTGAAATACACGTCCTTTGTGGTAGATTCTCACTAGTCTAAACTTCAAACTATTGGTTCTCAGTGTAGGTAGTGGTCTTGAAATACACGTCCTTTGAGGTAGATTCTCACTAGTCTAAATTTCAAACTGTTGGTTCTCAGTGTAGGTAGTGGTCTTGAAATACACGTCCTTTGTGACTTTTGTGGTAGATTCTCACTAGTCTAAACTTCAAACTGTTGGTTCTCAGTGTATAGGTAGTGGTCTTAAAATACACGTCCTTTGTGGTAGATTCTCACTAGTCTAAACTTCAAACTGTTGGTTCTCAGTGTGGGTAGTGGTCTTGAAATACACGTCCTTTGTGGTAGATTCTCACTAGTCTAAACTTCAAACTGTTGGTTCTCAGTGTAGGTAGTGGTCTTGAAATACACGTCCTTTGTGGTAGATTCTCACTAGTCTAAACTTCAAACTGTTGGTTCTCAGTGTAGGTAGTGGTCTTGAAATACACGTCCTTTGTGGTAGATTCTCACTAGTCTAAACTTCAAACTGTTGGTTCTCAGTGTACTGTAGGTAATGGTCTTAAAATACACGTCCTTTGTGGTTCTCAGAATCTCAGTGTTACGACATGCACGGTTCTCACTTTCTGAGAAAATTGGAAAGGTCTCCGTTTCTCCGATTGTTTCACGAAGCTCGTCCGATTTGTTTAGAATATCTCCGGCTAGCGGCGAAGTCGGCCAGACGCGAAGCAGCTGCTCAAATGAAAGAAATGCTAATTTGTAAAAAAGCTTTATAAAAATTTCTATTGTGTTCTCTTCAAGTGAGTAGCAACAAAGTTTTTTCGTATACAGTTGTTGTCAGGGACTTTTACCATTAATTAGTGATGAGCTGAAGGCGAGAAAATTGTTGCACGCAGCGATATAAGCCACAGCGAAACACACTTTCAACAACACAAAATTGATACCGAAGGTAGGAAATTGATCGCTTTCTGTTGTAGTATTTTGCTGTTTGCTGTGAAGGGATTAATGGATATTGTTATAACGTCCGCGTTGTTTTACTTGTAGATTAGCGACGACATGATAGGATTGCAATATTCGCGTTAAAACGTTCATAACTTGTCTTAAATTTGAAATATATATGATCGAAATACAGCCAGTTTTCGTTACATTTTGGCCATTTAAATTTTTGGAAAGCGTTTTAGGTCGTAAATACGACAGCTTGTGCACTTTTTGTAGCGGTTAAAAGGGCAAGTGTTGCCCTGTACATAAACTTAAACGACAATCCTTAATTTTGCGTGCTTTTTGGCAATATAGCTACAATGTTATTCACTTTTTTTGAGTGGAATAAAGATTTTATGCTGTTATATGAAAGGGCAACATGTTGGTCGAAACATTCCTCTTTGCTGATTGCAACAATGTTGGTATGTTTGTTGACTTTGGGAGATGAAATCAAATTTGACTTTGTTCAAAATTTCAACCGACATTGTTCGAAAGCCTGTTGTTTGGCAATGTTATCTGATATCACAGGTTTGACTTTTGACCAAAATGTTTATCCAGCATTGCCGGGACATCAACGTTGGCCATGTTTGACTCGGTCTTGACTGTTTTACCGTAATTTGTCTTGCAAAAAAAAAAAAAACGACGGCCGAACTTGTTAGCCAGATATATTCTGACAGTGTGCCCTGGTATGCCCTACTATAACAAGGCCCAACTTGTTAGCCGGATAATACCAGTGGGCCCTGGTATACCCTACTATATTATTTCACTCTGTCTAATGCCTATTTCAATAATAATTTATTTAGGTTTAATCCAACTTAGGAAGATCGCAATAGGACTACAAATGAATGTATTGGTTTTGTGATGAAGAACTGTGAAATCTAGCTGGTGGCACAAACATAGTTTAAACATCAATGGAAATGGCTAACTGTACATGATTTCTGTAGAAAACCTATATTTTTGAGGAAACTTGGTGTCCTATTGCACAATACATTAAATCATGTAGTTCGCCTGGACTGTATTCAACCTAATCTAGCGTTTTCGTGCTTGTGACGAATTCACACGGACGTGAATCTAACTAGTTACACGTCTATTGTTTTGTGTTGCGGCGTCATGGGTACTGATAAAGCACTGCGGATCAATCACGGCCATGTTGTATTTGTCGGCAGCAAAGGAAGCGGAAAGAGCAGTCTGTATCAATGTTTGAAATCTCCAAACCCACAAGTCATTGATGGCCTGAGTTGTTCGGTATTGGTCGAAGATTGGAGGCCGTTTAGTAATGAAAGTCCTGGTAAGCTTTGCTCTCTGGTTTCTGGTTGATTGATTCGTACACAGTGCTTCCATTTTTAAAATCAAAACTTCTCATTTTTGTCATCAAAATTTCTCTAAATTCCTTAGATTGTATATGTTATTTCCTTGAAAATTCCTTGAAATTTCATGAAGCAGTTTGCAGTGATTTTGCAGTGATTTTGCAGCAATACAAAGGATTTAATTAATTTTCAAGGCATAAAATAGCACAATTAACAAAGATATGGGCTAGCTAAGAACCACAGGCTATTATACTGTTTAAAATTAAATATTTGTTATGAATTTACAAGAGATACCTTTACATTGATATGATTAATTAACTATTCACAACGTTTGCCGCCAAAAGTTACTAAATCCTATCGCTTAAAAACTTTTGGAAATTTTCGGAATTTCCGACTGGAAACACGAGGAAAAAGTTAAAAACAGATTTTTAATTAAAGATAATTGATAATTCACTCAAAAATTTTAAAAAAAATGGAAACCTTCTTCTGCACTAATGCGCTTGGGTGAACATTTAAGTTTTTCGGAAAAAATCCTTAGATTTCCTTAGATTTTTTCTCTTCCTTAGATTTTCCTTTTCGACAGTAGAATTTCCTTAGAAAAGGAAATTTCCTTGAAAATGGAAGCACTGTTCGTACAGGGCTTGAAATTATCCATGAGATACCATGGGATATCCATTGGGATTAGTTTATTCCAGTGAGCTCTATATACTGTATATCATCTGGAGTGAGAAGTCGAGTCCAAATTCTGCATGGTCAACAATGTTGGTCTGGCAAGTTTGTAATTAGACATAGATTTGTGTAGGAAATTACACTGTTCGAGAAATATTAATGAAAAATTGCGTGCATGTTTGGCAAAATATTTATAATATTGCGAGTGCGTAGCACGACCGGTATTATAAATATTTCTCCAAACATTTGCAAATGTAATTTCCTATCAATTGATATAGTGTAATTTCCTATTTGCGCATTTGATCATTTGCTATAACATGTTAATTTGCACAATATAAATATTAAATAATATTATTATTATATGAAATACACGTCCTTTGTGGTAGATTCTCAC